AATCCTCCCCCTTCCATTTATTTCAGTAGACTGTGGAATGTGAGAAAAGACGTTGCTAGCACTGTCAGGAGCCAGCAAAACCTTTGTTATAGGGAATTTTCTGGTTGTAGTTTACCAATTCTTTAAGAAATTATAGAGGCAAAACAATACTAACATGTAAAGTATTTGCTGCCAATCCCCAGGCTTTGCATCTTCTGCAGTGAACTCTGCTGAGAACAGGATGTGACTCCTCCAGTTATGATGCTCTCCCAACTTTCTATGGCAGCCCTGTGCTCCTCTCTTAAATTCCTGCATATTAATGTTTTAGGAGAACAGCAAGGGCCTCTGGATGTGCACCTGTCATTTTACTGTAGAAAACACTTGGCTAGCCTGCATTTCATAGGAATTAAAATGGTGGTATCCTATACAGCTAAATGTTCTTTCATGTATTGGTAAAAGCCTACAAGCTCTATAACATGTGGGTAGTTAGGGCCAACCAATCATGGAGATGGACACAGAACTCACATTTAGATGCAGTACCTTATTTTTTCATCATCGTCTTTTTCTACAGCATTCTACAGTTCAAGTTTGTAGTTTGTTTCCTTTATGATAAGGTAGACATTTGAAGTGCAATTGATTGAAGGTACCTAGCAAAGGTTCAAAGACTCTCTGAGCACTCTGCACTTTACAGTATGATTTAAATGCCCTCTTTAGCCGTGATCGCTCTGCATAGCCCAGCGCTGATGACCTGCTGCAGGGGGTTTGCAGGCAGAACCGATTGGTTTCCTTCTATCCAAGGCAAAACCTGGTGAAATCACTGAGACTAAGGGTGAACTGGGAAGTTCATCCACAGTAATTTAAAGTGTGGTTTGCTGCTCTCCCCTTGAACGCTGCATACATCTCTTTTGTCAGCCCAGCTGACAAAGGGGAGCCCCAGGTTTTGATTGATACCTGTGTCTCCTTAGTGTGAGCATGGATTTGATTCTGTTCACACCATGTTGTAGCCAACGGTATTTGAGCGCTGCCTACAGCTCATCTATTAGTCTGGGGTCACTAAATATGGTACCAGCTGACAGAAGGGAGCCCGAGGTATCAAATGACACCTGGGTTTCTCTTGTGAACATTTATTTACCCCTGCTTGCACCCAGGGCCAGTGCAAGGATTTTAGCCGCCCTAGGCAAAAGTAAAGTTTGCCGTCCCCCCCCCCCATGTGACATCACCATGCCCCACCCATATGATCTGCCATTTTAACTAACGCCAGTGCTGCAGTGCCGCCGTGTTTACATTAAAAGGCTTGCAGGGACAGGCTATAGCTATAACTGTGGTCACAAAAATCAATGTTCTGGGAGAACGGGAAGCAGCTCCATTTTTAGGGGGCCCTTTACACAGCTCAAGGTCTGGGTCCCAGGGTCCACCTTCATGTTCCACCAATGAGTTTGTTCACAGTGGGTGGAGTGTGTAGGGGATGTCCTGATATGTGTGTAAGGAATGCATTGTGTGAATCTGTGTTTGTATGTGTAAGGGCTGCAAGGTGTGTTTCTGTGTATGTACGGGGTGCATTGAGTGTGTGTAAGGAATACATTGTGTGTTTCTGGGTGTGTAAGGGTTGCATTGCTTGTGTATGTGTGTCTGTGTGTGTAATGCATTGTCTGTGTTTCTGTGTGCAAGGGGTGCATTGTCTTTGTGTGTAAGGGGTGCATTGTGTGTGATGGATGTCAATCTCTCCCCCCCTCTCTTGTCACTCTCTTCTCCCCCCTCTCCCTCCCTTGTCTCTCTTCTCCCCCCTCTCCCTCCTTGTCACTCTCTTCTCCCCCCCTCCTTGTCACTCTCTTCTCCCCCTCCTTGTCACTCTCTTCTCCCCCCCCTCCTTGTCACTCTCTTCTCCCCTCCCTTGTCACTCTCTTCTCCCTCTCCCTTGTCCTCTCTTCTCCCCCCCCTCCCTTGTCCTCTCTTCTCCCCTTCCTTGTGCTCTCCTTGTCACTCTCCCTCCCCCCCTCCTTGTCCTCTCTTCTCCCCTCATGTCCTCTCTTCTCCCCTCCTTGTCCCTCTCTTCTCTCCCCCTTGTCCCTCTCTTCTCCCCCTCCTTGTCCCTCTCCTCTCCCCCCTTGTGCTCTCTTCTCCCCTCCTTGTCCCTTCTTCTCCCCCCCTCCCTTGTCACTCTCTTCTCCCCTGCTTGTCCCTCTCTTCTCCCCCCTCCCTTGTCACTCCTCTTCTCCCCCGTTGTACTCTCTTCTCCCCTCCCCACTATCATTTCCCCCTCCCCTTCCCCCGTCAATTCCCCTCCCTGTCAATTTCTTTCTCCCCCTCCGTCAATTTCTTTCTCCCCTCCCGTCAATTTCTTTCTCCCCCTCCCCGTCAATTTCTTTTCCTCCCGTCAATTTCCTTTCCCCCCTCCCGTCAATTTCTTTTCCCCGTCAATTTCTTTCTCCCCCCTCCCTTGTATGGTCCGCGCGTACAGGGAGCTTTTGTTTCCTGTACCCAGCCGGACTAAAAGGAAGTACACACTCAGTGTGCACATCCTGTTAGTCCGGCTGGGTACAGGAGACATATGCTCCCTGTACGCGCGGACCATACAGAGCTCGGCCACGCTACAGTGAGGGAGTGACAGGAGGTAGCGCTGAGCGCTTCCCTCCTGTCAGCCCCTCTCCTCATGCTGCGCCCGGGCGGTGCGCCCTCATGGACGCAACAGCCCGGGCAAAGCTGCAGCCGCCTGAGGCTCTCTACAGAGTGCTCGGGCGGCTGCAGCATGAATGGGTCCTTAAATGGATACTCCAGGCACCCAGACCACTTCTGCCCATTGGAGTGGTCTGGATGCCAACTCCCACTATCCTTAATCCTGCAAGTGTAATTATTGTAGTTTTCGTAGAACACGAAAAGGATTTTAAGCAACGCTGGACATCCTCACCCTATGTGAGGACCTCCAGCGTCACCAAAATCCCCATAGGAAAGCTTTCCTATGGGGAGGTCTAATGCGCGTGCACGGCAATGCGCATTAGGTCTCCTCCGCCGATGTCAGCTGGAGAATAGGCAGAGCCTGACCAGCGCTGGACTCCGGTAAATCACTGAAGGGGTTTTAACCCCTTCAGCAACGTGGGATAGGGGGTGGGAGGGAGAGGGGCATTACAGGGTCCTGCAGTGCCAGGAAAACTAATATGTTTATTAGTTAAACTCTAACTTATTGTTTTTATTACAAAATGATTTTGTTTTGTTCTATTACTCAACACTGTAATTAAAAAAAAAAAATATATATATATATATATATATATATATTATAGTTTTTTGTTTTTTTATGCAAAATATTGCATCCTATTTGTTCTAGGGTCTCTTTAGAGTTTACCATGAGAAAATGTATTTTTAAACTTGTTGAATGATGAAGACTGTTTGCTTTTTGTATTCATATTTTAGTTGTTTGTATGTTCATTCTGGACGCTATGTTCAGTGTAACCTAGTTACTGCAACATTTTATGGATTACATTTTTAAAATTGTAAAATGTGTTTTTTATTTGTTTTTTTTTAACAGGGAATCTTCAACCAGTTTCAGTGTAGCAGTGAGAAGGTATTGCCATCAGATGCCCTTCGTAGTGCCCTTGCCAAGACCTTCCAAGATGAACAACGGTTCCAGTTAGGTATTATGGATGATGCAGCAGAATGCTTTGTGAGTATATCATCTTTTCAAAATATTAACATTGACCATACCTTTTTTTTTAAGTGTTTGACTTTCACTGATTATTCTCAGTAAGAGGCTTAAAGACATGGAGAAGTGGTGCATCATTTTCATAGACCTGTGAATCATTTATCGTAAACACCATTGCTTATTTTTTCACAACACATAAACAACTAAATCATTTTTGACAATACTGATTTAGTATCTGTAGAGAACTGTAAAATATTGTTCCGAATCTCAAACCTTTACATCAAGCATGTCAAACTCAAAGGCTAACACGGGCCAAATAAACAAGGTTTAAATTTATGTGGTCCTCAAAAAAATCTACAAAAACCCAACACCCCCCTCTATTAAATAGCAGCCCCTACCTCTGCAAAACCCCAGTACCCCACTCTTCAAAACCCCATCACCCCCTCTACAAATCCCCAGCCCCCACCTCTACAAATCCCCAGCCCCCACCTCTACAAATCCCCAGCCCCCACCTCTACAAAATTCCAGCCCCCCCTCTACTAAATTCCAGACCCCCTTCTACTAAATTCCAGACCCCCTTCTACTAAACTCCAGACTCCCTTCTACTAAACTCCAGACCCGCCCTTCTACTAAACTCCAGACCCGCCCTTCTACTAAACTCCAGACTCCCTTCTACAAAACTACAGACCCGCCCTTCTACTAAACTCCAGACCTCCCCTTCTACTAAACTCCAGACCTCCCCTTCTACTAAACTCCAGACCTCCCCTTCTACTAAACTCCAGACCTCCCCTTCTACTAAACTCCAGACCTCCCCTTCTACTAAACGCCAGACCTCCCGATCTACTAAATTCCAGCCCCCCCTACTAAACCCCTAGCCCCCCACCTCTACAAAACCCCATCCCCCACCTCTACAAACCCCATCCCCAACCTCTACAAACCCCATCCCCAACCTCAACCTCTAACCCCATCCCCAACCTCTCCCCAACCTCTACAAAACTCCAGCCCCCAACCTCTACAAAACCCCATCCCCCAACCTCTACAAAACCCCAGCCCCTCCCTCTACTAAACCCCTGCCCCTGTTTCAAAAAACTAAAACAATGTTTCCCAACAAGCAGACTACACTCACTCATCCACACCCAGAGCTGATCTTCTTGCTACTCTTTGAAACCCTATGAAAGCAGAGCATGTCGGAACGTGACATTGCGCGCATCGTTATACCTCTAGGTCCTTCAGTGTCCAGCCGCGGCTATTACAACACTGATGACACCCCGCTAATGCATGGCACGCAGTACGAACTGCCCCCCTCCCCCTCATTAGTAATGAATATCTTTGCTGGGCCATGAGTTTGGCATGCTTGCTTTACATTAAGCTTCCCCAAACTCCGGCCCTCCAGATGTTGCTGAACTACAACTCCCATGATTCTCAATGTATCTATTTCATGTATAGAATCATGGGAGTTGTAGTTCAGCAACATCTGGAGGGCCGGAGTTTGGGGAAGCCTGCTTTACATGATCAGAATGGCTTTCTGTGTGAATTAGCTGGCAATTTCAATATTTGGTTTGGTCCCCTCGAAGGAATTGATCATTGAATCTGCAAAAAAATATTCCTCTGCGTTATTCACAGCTCACAAAGAGTCTATTTGATCCAAAGCAGATTTAGATTCAAATAGGTATTGGATATTAGTATATTTTTTTTTTTTTTTGGCAAATCTATTTCAAAGTTTGGCCATGGTTAATGAAGTAAGCATGGTAAGAAATGTGTCATGGCACATGAATAAAGCGCTCACATGTTTGGGTTTATGCATTTTATTGTATTGATAGTCATGCCCTTACCATAGAGATAGTATAAGCACAGATTTGTGCTGTGATGATACTATTAAATACCATTACAGATACCTAAAAAACACACATACTGGAAAGGAATTTGCATTGCATTTATGCTACAGTAGAAATTAGGATAACTGAAAATGAGAGGAATGAGGTAGATGTGAATAGCTAAGCCATGTTTCTAAATCATTTAGTGTCATATATTGGATTTCTGGATTTCTTTAAATAATGTAATATTTAAATCTGTATGATATTTTAAAGGAGCACTTCAAAATCACTATAGCCCCACCCCCCTGTGAATATTTATTCTTACCTGGGGTACTCCAGGTGCCACAACCTGCCTCCACCTGCCTGTGGAGAGCCAGAAGCTCCTAAGCAGGTGCTTTATTTAGCTCTCTTGAACTAAGCCCTGCATTATCTCAGAGAGCGCTTCTGGCTCTTTATATGATGTAATGGAGGCGGGGTGAGGCACCTGGAGGATCCCAGGTTAGAATGCAAACCATTCTAGAAAGGCTTGAGCTTGACTACTTACACTTGGGTGAGCGCCAGGGCACTCCTAGCACCACCACCACTTCAGAACATTGTAGTGTTTATGGTGCTCTGAGTCTTCCTTTAAACTCTAATATAATTAAGTGTTCTTGCATAGCAAGACCACTTATTGTTATCTCACATCTATATTATTATGGTTATTCTTATTATAGCCAAATTTGCCACCCTAACTCCTCCCACAGTTTTTACACTACATAGACAAAAATTTACCAAAACGTGCAGATTGTTCCCGATCGGATTGCTATTTGTGGAACGTTTCGCCGAATGGTTCACGGAATATCGTCGTTCTTGTGGCGCAATTTGTCCCATAGGAATGAATGGCAAAGCTAGAGTGGGAGCTGGCAAAAGCTGAAAAATCAGGACATGATTTCTAAACTGCCACCACTCCCTTATTTTCAGGCCCACCTACACAAATCTTATATCAAAACGTTCAGCTATCCCTGCTGCCACTAAACATGTCAACGGCTAAGCCATAGTCCTGATAGTTTTCACAATATAATCATTTGTTTGCAACTAACGCCGTCCATTGACATTCATTGAAACTTCACTCTGCAAAGCTCAAATTTGAAGTGCAATTTCTAAACTGCGACTGTGCCTTCAATTTTAACACTTCAGAGACATACTATGCATCAAAATGTAGGTCTGGGTCTTGTGATTCTCACAATATAAAGCTCTTCGCTGTAGGATTTAAAATACGACCGTTTGAAGATGGCAACCGCCAAAATACTCTGACCTGTGTCAGGCTGCAGCAGCAAGTGATGTCATAGACAGGGCCTTTTGAACACCTGCTAATGTTTTTATAAATGTATGGTTTAATGTAACTGTGCAACAACGTTGCAATTAAATGTGCTATATAAATAACAGTTATTCCGCCCACTCCAGTTGTAGACCACTAGTGGAGGCAAGAACACTTCACACAATTTCCCCTGAAATTGTAGCTTTTCTAGTTTAACAGGTGTTATATATACAACACCCTTCAAAACTCTTCTATAGGTTAAAACAAAGGATAAAATAAGTTGGATCCATGACCCTTACTCGTTTAATTATCATCTTTTCTAAAATAATAGTAATTAGTGTGTCACTGCATGTGTTTTTCACATTGTCATAATTTCTCTGCACCCTTTGTTGATATACTGCATATTTATCAAGTAGAAGTGACCCACTGTATTTTTTTTTTTATTGCTTATATTAATAGGAAAATCTGCTAATTCGACTTCACATTCATATAGCTGATGAGTCCAAAGAAGATATCTGCACAGCCCAGCACTGTATTCCTCATCAGAAGTTTGCAATGACTTTATTTGAACAGGTATAAGTGACTAGTTTTATTGCATTATTCCAATCCATGCCAGGATGGCAGCCACCAAAGTGTAGTGTACATAAATTTTTCATTGTCTTTTCAGCTATTTATCTGCATTATGTATAAGCTTTAATTTTATCCCATAACAGTGCGTCTGTACAAGCTGCGGTGCTACTTCGGACCCACTGCCCTTTATTCAGATGGTACATTATATCTCCACTACTGCTCTCTGGTAGGACTATCCTTTAATTATAATCTATAATATTTTCTTATTATGTTATTAGTTTTTTCTTTTTCAGAACATGTCTATTTTTAAAATTCTCATGTTTAAAGTAAGTGCTAACTTACCATATAGGCTTTTTCAGAGTGGTTTCTAAAACTCATAAGAATGTTCATTGCATTGCATTACATTACTTAGACGCACTCTTCTATTTTATTGCAGCGCTACTTAAAAAAAACAAAAAACCTGTAATATTACAGTAAATACAAGAAAATAAATATGCAACCATTTTAATACTACTGCCAGAGTTTAAATTGACCTTTCTTCATACCTTTCTTTCATACCTTTAGAATAGAACATACTAAAATTGTATTAATTTCTGTATTGTCCAGCAGTTCTGAAACCCTAATTAGCTGTTAAAATTAGTTTTGTTGTATGGGGTGTTATACTATATTAAATAATATTTAGTGGCTTAATTATGGTAAGAAAATTAAAGGGACACTATAGTCATCAAAACAACTTTAGCTTAATAAAGCAGTTTTGGTGTATAGCTCATGTCCCTGCAGTCTCACTGCTCAATTCTGTCATTTAGGAGTTACATCACTTTGTAGTCACACTTTCCTGCATGTGATTTGCACAGCTTTCCTAAACACTTCCTATAAAGAGTCATCTAAAGTTTATCCTTTCTTAATTGCAAGTTCTGTTTAATTTAGATTTACTTATCCCCTGCTATGTTAATAGTTTGCTAGACCCTGTATGTGATTAAAGTTCAATTTACAAAGAAAGAGATACAATTGTTTAAGGTAAATTGCATCTGATTGAAAGTGAAACCAGTTTTTTTTCACGCAGGCTGTGTCAGAGTCAGGGGAGACGTGGCAAGGGCTGCATAAACAGAAACAATGTGATTTAACTCCTAAATGGCAGTGAATTGAGCAGCGAAACCTAAGAAGCATGATCTATACACTAAAACTGCTTCATTAAGCTAAAGTTGTTTAGGTGACTATAGTGGTCCTTTAACGCTTGAAGGACCACTATAGGCACTCAGACCACTTCAGCTCAATGAAGTGGTCTTGGTGGCAAGTCCCTCTAGTTTTAACCGTGCAGCTGAAAACACAGCAGTTTCACTAAAGGTTAATCCGGCCTCTAGGAGGCGCTTCTGCAATTCTCACTGTGAAAATCACAGTGAGAAGACGCTGGATGTCCATAGGAAAGTATTGAGTAATGCTTTCAAATGGGCTGTTTGAATGCGTGCGCGCATGCGCATTCAGATCTGACGTCGGCAGGGGGTGGAGAGTTCCCCAGCACAGAGGGAGCCCGGCGCTGGAGAAAGGTAAGTGGCTGAAGGGGTTTTTACCCCTTTAGCCCAGCAAGAGGGGGGCCCTGAGGGTGGGGGGCGGGGGGGGGGCGGCGCCTAATGACCCTATAGTGCTAAGAAAACGAGTTTGTTATATAATATAAAATTGTAATTCTCTAAATTTCTTCCTATAAATGAGCATATTGTTAAAGAGACACCACAGTCACTAAAACAACTTTAGCTTAATATATAGTGCCAGGAAAACAAAGCCACCTCCCCTCCCCCTTCCCCCCCCCCTTCCGCAGGGCTGAAGAGGTTAAAACGTGAAGCCGTCCAGAATCAGATAACGCACCAAAGGTCCATTTGGATTCCGGAAGCACCCCCAGTGGTTGTCTGGTAGACAGCCACTGTGGGCAGACTTAGAGCTGCAATGTAAGGATTGCGGTTCTCTGGAACTGCAATGTTTTACATTGCAGCACTAAGTGCAATAGGGACACTGCACCAAGGCAACTTTAATTAGCTGAAGTGGTCTGGGTGCCTACAGTGTCCGTTTAGTGAAGCAGTTTTTGTGTGTATGGCATGTCCCTGCAGTCTCACTGCTCAATTATTTGCCATTTAGGAGTTGAATCACTTTTGCTTATGCAGCAATAGTCAATCCTCCTTGCATAGCCTTCCTAAAAACTTCCTGTAAAGGGAGATCTAATGTTTAAATTTTTTTGTATTGCAAATTGCATTTCATTTAGAATTTCTTATCTCTTGCACTGTTAATTGCTTGCTAGACCTTGCAGGGGATTCCTCTATGTGATTAAAGTTCACTAAAAGACCAGGAGATTATACCTACAGTTACATCTGATTTGAAAATGAAACAATTTTTTTCATGCAGACTGTGTCAGTCACAGCCAAGGGGAGGTGTGGCTATGGTTGCATAAACAGAAACAGAAGTGATGGCAAAGAATTTATCAGTAAAATTGCAGGGGCATGCTATATACACAAACAGTGCTTCATTAAGCTAAAGTAGTATCCCTTTAATTTATTAAACAGATGTTTTACAAAATGATTATATAAATATATACAAATTTTTATTCTGACCCAGAGAACATTTAATTCCCAGTATTGCAAAATATATAATTAAGATTTTAATCTCACTACTTCTTGATATTAGTTTTTCCTCATACTTCATATTTCTATTAAGACACACCTTGATTTATTTACTCTAAGCTAAAATATATCAAAAATTCTGAAGAAGGGGAAAAGACAGACGCTCCTGTGTGCATTTAATTAAATTCTGTTT